GGGGGGGTGAGAAGAGCGCGCCTTTATGAAAAATGCTGTTGTTGTCTGACCCCCTCATGGGACATCATATGGTAAGGAAAAAGAACATGCATCAGCGTTACGATTAAATGACCAGTGGACATGATTCAAAGGGTCCCGCGACGTCCCTGAGCACCCGTTGGAACGTGTAGAAGGCTCTCGGCATACAGACGAGCTAATGGGCAACCTATTGGTCATGGTAGATTCAGCTTGAATCTCAATGAGGGTGTCAGTGTGTGGGTGCTCCATGACCGACAAGGTGTGGTAGGCCTGCTGGAGTTGATTTAGCCACACGGCCTGTCATAGCGTTTTACTAGTCAGAGTCCATCAATCGAGAGGCTAAAAGGCATGTTTTCTTTTTTCCCCCCCTTTTGAAGTGTCAAGAGGAAACTGCCGTCTCGGAGACGGACGGAAAATGCAAGACGTCTGATGAAATTTCACATCTTTGTTTTCTCTACATGATGCAGAACCCTGATGGTAATAAGGTAGATATATTTTTTACATGAGCATGACACCAGACTTAATAATAAAGTCTGTGCCAGAACCACTTTTGCAGTGTGTAGCCCAGAAATGAAGCCTGGCTGGGCATAAGTCACTCCTCACAAAAGCCTTTCACAAAAAAGGCACACAGCAGTACTTCCGTGTAGACTGGGACATGCTTGTGGTACATGAAAGCAGAGGGCTTGGAATCATACAAAGGCTAAACCCATTACAGGTCCAGAGGGGTGGACAACACACTGCCTTGTCCCGCTCCTCTAAACAAGACACTAGGTGCTGGAAGCTGGAACAAAGCCTTGTAACATATACATTAAACTTTAATCGTTTTTTTTCTTCCATCCCCTTCCCTTCAAATCTCTGAAGTAGCAGCTCCTGAAACGTTAAAAGTGTAATGCCAGCTAGATTTTCATGGCTGTGCCTTTGTAGAATAAAAGATATATGTGTAACAGCAGAGGGGATTTTTTTTTTTTCGACTCTGATGCTGGAGGTAGACAGTTGTTTTTCAAATTCCAAGTTTTGGTCCTTTATTTTATTCAGCAGTGAAATGCCATGAATACAGAAAATAATAACGTCTGTTACAATTCTCAACCATGACCTTCTAATGTCAGAGAACCTTGTTAACGTATGGACACAGTACACAGTAATGAAAAGTATAAAAAAAAAGTTGTTGAATCTCGATTGTAAGGAAATTAAAACAAAAAAAACGAAAAAGTTTTCACCAATTACATAAACATATGTTTGCTACAGTCCCAATTTACTGTATACATACGGGGATCATATTCCCAATTATTAGAGAAGGATAGCAGTAGAAAGGATACATGACTCAACTGCCAGACATAATGCTTCATAAAGTATGCACAGAGGTACAAGCAATAAATACACACATTAGGTTAAGCCTTACAGCTACGCAAAGCAGATGCAGAAAAAGCAGGTTTGCTATTCTTAGCGAGCAATGAGAGAGAAACAGTAAAAATTCAGGTAAGTCAGAAAAGAAACACTGAGATTTTTTTTTTCCTCTTAGAAAAAAGTCTGGTAAATTTATGGGTCCACCAACAATTTTTTTCTTTTTTACATAAGTATGCACAGTTATCAAAATACAGACAAAATCAACCCAGAAAATCCAGACAATCCTAAAATCTAGTGGAGGAGCAGATCGCAGTTCTGGAGGTCTTTCTGGTATTATGTGCAAGCAACTATTTTAGACTTTTTTTTTTTACTTAATTTATACAAAACCCATGCAAATCTACAGGTAATATGCATTCTGTGGCTGACAGGTTTTTAATCCTTCCCAAAACAGTATATCTGAGGTAATGTACGTACATTTAGGCCATCGTCCCGATGATTTTTATTATACTCTTTTTCAGTTTAGTTCTTGTTTCCAGTCCACCAAATGATTTTTAGACATGCATTTTTTAAAAACACAATATTCCCTTACAGGTTAATCTATACATTATCATTCTACAAATGTTTGAGGACAACCTATTACGATGCAAATCTTCCGTTTCTTGACGTATAGGGAATGTAAACGTTGGTTTGAGCCACGTCCTATGAGACAAGCGCAGGAAAGTGTTAACGGCTCTCGTGGCACTCTAATAACTCGTGCAATCTGTCATAATTGTTCTGAATTTTTTTGTTGTGCAGAGGTAGAAGCTTTCAGAAAGCCTTTTTGGGTAAGTGGGAGAACCCTTTTTCTTTCCTTTTTTTTTTGAAAGACGCAGCGTCCCTTTTATTTGGTGTGATAAGATTATTAAGAACGTCGTCTTCAAGTCGTTTTGCTGACTCCAGCTAAGTATTGAAGGGATAAGCTTTGTTCCTGTGGCCCAGCACCCTCTTGACGTGGAACTGGTGTGTGTGTGTGTGTGTGTGTGTGTGTGTGTGTGTGTGTGTGTGTGTGCGCGCACAGTACTGCATGTGTCTGTGTGTTTAAGCTCTCGCAGCCAATTTCTCGGCTTGAAAACCACATATGCACAGTGTGATTCCATTTTGGTCAAAGCAGGCGGACGCGTCGCTCGTTACAGTGCGATACAAAGCCACTCGTCGGTTCTTTGACAGCATACATTTACTCTGCAGCTGGAGATTTAACCGAAACAAGAAAGTCTGCAGACCAAAAGCTCGGAGTGGGGTCTGTGTATACGTGTATGTGTGTGTGTGTCTTCAACAGGTTGTGATTTCTTTATCCCATACAAGAGGAGGCAGAATTTTGTGTAACTTTGGTTTACTGAAAACAGAAATGACCATTAAAGCAACAACACTTTTCTAGATGACATTGGCTGCGACAGGAAACGACGGGACGCAGTCGCCGCAAGAACTACTTCTCTTTAGTGTCAAGAAATACCAGCGTGCGTTATTAGAAAAAGCTGGACACCTATACCGAGTACGCCCGTGCCAAAAACGGTTGTACCTGTATGGTTAAGAAGCTACGAGCCACACGATGAGTATTCGATGTTGGATGGAGTTAAAGCAAATATCACCTAGAAAAGGTTACCTCTCTTTCACCTTAGATATCCTCTTCTGCAATGGCTATTATTATTTGCTTTTACACGGTAACCAAGCCACGTCATCTCATATCAACTTGAAAATTATTTGGCTTCACTAGATATTTTTTTTTAAATGTTTGGTTCGTGGTGTTTTCAGTTTCGGTTTTCAACGCGGCTCGGAGCAAAAACCGCCTGACGGAAATAAGACGTGACATTATTTTTGACAGTCCCACTTAGAACGTTACATATTCACCAGGTTAGAAAGAAAAAAAAGAAAACCCAAAAATCAAAAGAAACAAAGAAAGAATGAAGTTTGATGCGTAAAGCGTAACAAAACGAAAAAAAAATAAACGTCACAACAACACAATGTTTCTGCACTTCCATTGAATACACAAATGTTTTTTTCGTTTTGGTCATGATCCACTTTTACAGGTAGCTGCTCTCTACCAGTCAAATACCACATCGCCTTTTTCTAACCTAAAGTATTTCTGGCAGAAAATCCCCAAAGTGGACGAGTTATCAATTTACAAAATCAGCATTTACGCCCTCCTCCACCCACATCTCTCTTTCCAAGCGATCATCTTTGTATAGGGCAAAAACGAAACGATCCCAGAGGTTACTTTGAAGGTAGTTTGCAGAACGAAAGCTTCTCTTTGTACGAGTTTAAAGTGGCAGAAGGCGGACCAAAAGGAGTTTTGGCGGCTTTCTGTCTTATAAGCTATTGGCCATTGTTGGCTTTGGTTTCTAGCTGTTGCCTGTGACTGTTTGCAGGTAGACAAAGCTTTCAGAACGAGGAGGTATAAGGAGGAACAGCGAGAAGAAAATTAGGCAGAAATGCATTTGTTTTGTAAATGGTGCTTTTTCACAAACTAGTATTATTATTTTTTCCCCCCAAACTTTTAATCACAAACAGATAATAGACTGGAAGCCGACTTTTTTTTTTTTTTTTTTTTTTTTTTTTTTTTTTTGGACAGCTGCAACAACAGTCTTGGTACCGCAGTTCTGGTGTAATTCAGGGAATGGCATTTACAGTTGGTGGTGTCTAAAAAAAAAAGTCGAATTTGGGAAATTAAACGATGATAAAAAATAAAAAAAAAGCTGAAAACAATATACTGGTTTTTTTATTATCGTAGCAACATACAGGCAGTGACACAAATTTCTGAGACTACTCCTGTGCAAATGAGAACAGAGCAACAACTTTGAATTGAACCAGCAATTGTCTCTAGACGTCAACAACTACTGTGGGGTCGGGTTATTCACAAACATAAAACGTCTTCCTTTTTGGCAGTATATGAGGCCGCTAGCTTTCAACGGAACATGACTCGGCTTGTTTTTTTCCCCCACATCCGTGAGTCCATCATCCATGTACTGTACGTGGCCACGCCATCTCTAAAGAAATCTCGGAGAGTTTGTTTTTTTGTTTTGTTTTTTTTAACCAGACAACTCATGCCTGTCGTGTTCGGGGATCCCAAAGGGCTGCAGCAAAGAGTTCCTTTGGGCCGGTCTCCATCCGGATGCATGCTCAATAAATAGTCCCAGTGGTGATAGAGACAAGAGAGAGAGAGTCGGCTGTGTCTGCTTGGGCTGTGGAGTGGTTTCTAGTCTTGAGGGAGGTCTGCGTGGGAGGAACAGTGCGGCCCGGGCAGAGAGACACGTCGGCCAAAAGCCGCGCCCTAGTCACTCGAGGTCCTCCGATAAGTTCCCCTCCTCCAGCTCCCGGTCCTCCTCCAGCTCCGGACTGTGATTGGCCGTCGTCACCAGCGACATGGGGCAGTCGTCGTCGTCCATGTTGAGCGGCTCCTCCTTCACGTGAACGGGCGGCCTGCGACACAATCACATCGACGATAAACTTTAGGGCGTCTGTGCGCTCTGTGACAAATTTCTGCCAAGTGCAAGATCAAAAACTCACCACTTAAGTTTGTCATGTGAAAAATTTAAAGTAACTGGGAAACACCTAGAGTATAAAGACACAATGGGGTATTGCAAATTATTATCACTCAATGAAATCAGAAAAACAGTTTGTGGGCATGAACGCCCTTTGCTGCACATGGAATACACACTGTGGGCGTTCAGCCGGCTGATAAATATTTTGTTGTATCATAAATAACAAGCATACATCAGCCGTTACATGCACTATCCAGCGGACATAACAACCGTGTTGTTTGCGAGACGCTAATTTGACATGATGCCTCACGTCTACTGTAAGTAAGCGCATGAAAATTGCATGAAAAACACGGCCCCTGTAAGGCCGATAAGCTGTGATGTTCCAGACATGTTTGGCATTTAAAAGTTTACTGATGACACCAGGTTGAAATACATGAAAAAGGAGAAAGGAGGGGGGGAAAAAAACAGGCCACATGATAAATAATGGAGAATTTCTCATCCCTGAGCCCCTGGAGCAAAGGCAGGAGGAGAGGCTTTTTTATCTAGTTAATAGAAAGCGCAGCCACACGTTAATATGCAGGGGCCGTGCGTGTCGCTCCTCAAGAGGAAAAACCGGCAGCTAGGTTCTGCCATTAATCAACTTCAGCCCCGGCAGTTCGCTTCGGACACCATGATACATGTTTTTAACTCTAAATGGATGAATATCTTTAGCCACTGTCAATAAGCGGCGGAGCTGGCGGCGAGCGGGACGCCGCTCCGTTCAGAACAACAGGGTAGACCGACACATAAAGTGTTGGGCGACTAACAAGAATAATAATGCTGTCACACACAAACAAGGCATAACATGATCCGGGGCCCGAGTCGGGGAGAGGGTTTTGTGCCACGATGATAAATCTGACAAAACCTAATTATTCCTGACACATCGGATGCATCAGAAAATCCCCGCGGACTTTAAAAGAGGAGAATGGGTGGGGGGGGGGCTTATCAAGTGGTAGTGCGTTAGGACACGTCTCGTAGCCTCTCTCTCTCTCTCTCTCTCTCTCTCTCTCTCTCTCTCTCCTGGGCTGCCTTCATCAGTGGAAGATGGGGAAGGGGCTTTGAATTTGAAAAGAATTTGAAAAGGTACAGATGACTTTAATATTCAGAACCAAATACTGTAAATTAATATTCTGATGTGGAGGAATAAAGGGAAGAAGGCTGATCTGAGCAGATTAATATTTCTGTTTGTGCCACTCACATTTACAGAGGCGAAAAGAAAAACACCTCAGCCAGAGGTTAGAGAATCAGAGAAACAATCCAGACTCACTTGAACTGTCGACTGAATGAAAATACTCATTATATAAAACTAAATTCTATTCTGTTGTTGTTGTTTTGATGCTAATGATTGTTTATTGTTAGTTAATGCATCTTAAAGGTGCTGAGATCTGCTCAGATTATTCTTTTACAGAATCCAACCAGTGCTAAGATTGATTGATTAATTGATTGGCTCATTAGGGAAAATCTATAAACTTCTCTGTTTTATTCTTGTACATTTTTAATATTTATTAATATTTTATGGAATAAATAAAAAAACTAATTTACCGAACCCCCTTAAAAAAAGACAAATTAATGATCCACAATGTTAAATAATCGTTAACATTTGTATATATAACGTATGTTTATATCCTTGCTATTTTCATATTTGTACATATAAAACCGCTGCCTAAATTTCTCAATATTCAGGATTCACGATATATGAATTGTAACAAATTTGAATGCAGTTGAACGCAGCTTTGCCAACATTTTTTAATTTCTATTATTTACAACGTCTTCTATAACGACATATTTTTGATGATTTCATCAGAATATTGTCATTAATTGACTATTCCACAAACAATTGGAGGTAAAGGAGGTGTAGTTACAATTCTTAACAACTTCATTATCATGTAAACAATGTCGTGAACGTTAACACTGCAGGTAAATGCTAAATAGGGAGCAGTTACCAGGTATGTCTTATGTTTTAGTCATTGCCTGTGCACATGCCAACTACAGAGGATACGTTATCAATCAAATCTTTCAAAAAGATATTGTAAAATAAAATAAATATGTTAAATGCAAAATCAAACCCTCACTGCATTTGTGTGAACGAAGGGAGTCACACCAAGAACAACAAGCCTCATTTAGGAACTGTTGTAATGTTGTCCAGTCGCAATCCTGTTCGTCTATTCGCCAATAATTAACGTTGATAATCAGTGGAATCATCACGTCCATCAACTGTCAAACTGACAGAGCAAAGGTTTTTAAAACGCAGCTCATTACGTGTTTGTGTGGCTCTGGAATGAAAACACGCAGGAGCATCTTCACAGGCCCGAGCTTCCCGACACTTTCAATAAAAGTACGTGGACGAGCCATTTAGCAGTTAATGGCGAGCTGCCATTAGCGAGTCACTCGGGAGAAAACGTTGGATTTTCCGTAATAAATACGTGACGCTGGATGCGTTTGCTCTTGCATCGGATGGGAGATTAGCAACGGCAATCATGCAGAGGTATGTCAGGGATGCAAATAAGGTCATTAGTCCAGGGGGGGCCCTAATGGTGGGTTGGGGTTGGAGGGGAGGCAGGGGTGAGGAGTGTGTGTGTAACATCTCACTGTGATTCATTAATGAACACCAAAGAGGGGCGATCACCAAACAATTACAGGTGACAGCACAAGCCTCTGCTGGTAAAATATAGCGACATTAAAAACATTATTTTTGAATTTATCCGTTTCTGAAGGGAGGTTACTCATTTGCAAATTGGAAAGGCTAATTTTTCACTTGCAGATGTTCTCATATACACTCTACTACTTCCTTTGAGCATACCCCTAAGGGTGTACACGAGTGTATTGCACATGCACACGCGCGCACACCCGCCCGGGGCAATCTGGTTTGTGGTTAAGCAGATAGCATTAACCTTTCGCCATCGGGGGGGGGGGGTTTGTCTAATTGTTGGCTCCACTCGTTTACGCCGTCCTCTCCTGAGAAAGGTGATGTACACTTTTAGTTCGCCACTCCATTATTTAAGCGCGTTCTGGAAAAAGCCAGTCGTGAAAAACACATTTCTTCCATTTTGAGGTTGTCGTGGCTGAGGGAGGGAGGGAGGGATGCATCTCCTCCTCTGCAGCCGCTCATGTCAGTGTCAAGGCCAGAGAGAGGAGGAAGGGGGGAGTCGACGCTGTCCTGTTACTTAAAAGTTAAATGACCTGAGGGAGCAGTAACGCTGGGATTCTGTCCAGAGTCGGGCAGATTTGCTCCACTTAACGCCCTGTTTCAGAGCGGGGTAAACACGTCCAAAGAGATGAGCGTATACAGACGTCTGGTCGAGAGAACCCAACACTCGGAAGCTGGAGTGCATCCTTTATCCATTACAGGAGTGGTTGGGGAGAGTCGGCTGACTTATGCGACACAAGCTTTGATGGCCGGTTGAAGTGTAACGTGTGTGTTTGTCTCAGAATGTGCGGCGAGTGTGTGCGTCTGCTTCGCTGAGTGACATCACGGGCGCAGCTTTGTTTTCCTGAAACTTGCCCGAGATCAATTTTTAAAAATGCTCTCTTTCTCTCTCAGCTCCATTAAAAAACAAGAGATGGGGAAAGGGGGGGGTGAAGATTTTTTTAAAAGTAATGAATGCATAACTCCCTAAATATTAATGGGAACAGCCTTGCATAAAATATAGCAGCTAAACCCCTATAATGCAGACGGTGGTGTAATTAAAGACGAATGTGCAGCAGGGCCTATTTATAGACCCGGAATTAACTGTTATATCCAAAACGTCAGGTGTAAGCAGACTGCCGGTGAAATTAACCACAGCGGAGACAGGAGGAGATTATGATACAATGCATGCTGGGAAAGTGAACCTTGCTCTCAGGTCAGAGTAGGGAGTAAAGGGAAACGCTGCGACTGTGGGTTAAATATCAGGCAATTAAAGTAACAAAGGGCACAAGGACAGTGAGTAGATTCAGTGTAGGAGTGGAGGTGGTGATGGGGGGGAGGGGGGGTTCAACATGTGCTCACATTCTCAAATAAGTACTCATCACACATAACAATGTGTGATGTGTGATTCAGTATATGCTCGTGGCACTTAACCTTTGCAGGTTTTAAAGAGGCACTCGATGCATCATATACTGTGTCGCAGCGAGAGAGCAGGAACGTTCAGGTGTGTGGTAATTAAGGCAGTGGTGATAGCAACTAAAAGTACAGTTATCTTAAAGGAGCAGGGTTTCAAATTCAAAACAACTTTATTTGACCCCGGAGGGAAATTCTAATCAGATTTTATACAATGCTGCAGCTGTGTCTTAGTGAGATGCAAAGTCCTAAAACCATTTTTTAAAAATTTGTATAAATAATTTCCGAAAAAACAACTGCCTTAATTATCATGTATCATGTACACTGTACATGCCTTGATGTGTAGCTCTGATGTGTACACACACACACACACACACACACACACACACACACACACACACACACACACACACACAGGATGCAGTTCAGCTGCAAGCAGGAAACTCACATGTGTACTGGTGGGGAATACCCGGGGCTGCTGTGTCCATTGGTGTCCAGGTGGTCAAGTGAGCCGTTGAGCTCCTCGTGGGCTGACTGCAGCAGGGTCGGGGGGCTGCCACTCAGCGTGCCTGGGGGGCTACCGCCCAGCAATCCTGGCGGGCTACCGCCTAGCAGCCCAGGTGGACTCCCACCTGTCAGCCCGGACGGGTCTCCGCCGAGGAGGCCGTGGCAGCTGCCACCCATCGGGCCCGTGGAGCCGCTGTTCATGAGGCCGGGGGTCCCGAGCAAAGGCAGGGAGGTCTCAGCCAGGGCGGCCTGCAGGTGGAGAGACACAGAGGAGGAATATAGAGTTAGAGATTCAGGAGGAGGGGTGCAGGTGAAAGAGAGGAAGGGAAAAAGAAAGATGGCGAAAGAAAGGAAAGGAAGCAGGTAAAGAGCATGAAGGGGCAGGGAGGGAATGATATTCAAAGTCTTTATATAATAAAAACAGTAATTATTAAAACTCCATCCCAACTTTTCTATTCTGTTGCAGGCTATTTTTCACCCAGTGACACCTTCCTGACAACCACCTCCCCCCAGCTGCCATTCACATGCCCTTGTGTTGTGTGGCTATTAAATAAAAAATAAAAAATCCCCCCCAAAAACTTTACCTCAAAATAATAAAAACTCCTGACACTTTCGCCTGCTGCGCATTAAAGTTATATACAGTGATTAAATTTTTAAAGTTTTTGCCATGAGCACCTCGCCGGCGTACACTATGAAGCCAAATCATTTATGACAGCTTAGATAAATATTAATGCACATGCCCTTGCATTTGCACACGCCGCTATCAATCTAGGGTGGCTGCCACAGCTGAGAGGAAAGGGGAGGAAAGAGAACGGGAAGAACAGACGGGAGGAGCTGCTTCCTGAGTCGACCACAGGGTGGCCTTCTGAGTCCGACAGGAGGGAGGGGAGGAGATGCAGAAACACACGAGCAGGGAGAGGAGGCAGGAAATGGAGTTAAAGGAAAAAAATAAAGTTGTTTTTTTGGAGTCCGCAGCAGCCGCACTCGCTCGACTACCTAAACAGTCGAGCGGCCACCGTGCCCGTCAGATGAATAAACATGCAGAGCACTGAGTCAGAGCTGCTCTCAGGCTTCTGGTTCTCACCTGTAAGCTTGCGTTTAGTGCAGTTCCATAGCCAAGACTGGAGGGCAGGTTCTTGACAAGTGATGGGCTTCTGGAAAAAAAATTAAAATACATATATATATATATATATAAATAAAATATATCAAATATCAGCAAAGAAAGAGCTAAATGTATAGAAGGGAGAATAAAAAAGTCTATTCAAACAAACAGAGGAAAAAGAAAGAGATGTTTCTGATTTTCTGTGATCTCCCACAAGCCATTGACCTTCACATCTAGATCTAAGCAGCGGTGACGGACGCTCGTACCCTGTGATCTTCTGCGACCTGCGTTTCTGGTACTCCACCTCGTCCACCGTCCACACCGCCCCCTTCACGTTCTCCACGCGCACAAAGCACTTGTGCAGGCTGAGGTTGTGGCGGACAGCGTTCTGCGGGGGAGAGAGGATGACACGGGGGTCAGAGGGATGAGGTAAAAAAAAAAGAATCACATTCATTCATTTTCATTCAAGGCTGGGAAATTGATTTTTCTCTCTCTCTCTTGCATTTTGAACAAAATTCTTAACATTCACACACCATTGATTTAATTAGTAAAAATTGAGTGAGAGCGAATGCTCTTACAAGTCCTGCACACAGTACATATCAATCAGAGTAAGTAGGCTAAAAGGAGGTAATCAGCATAGCGAATGGCTTATGGTGGTGACAGAAGTGGTAATACCGGCCTTGATAATGGTGATGTCAGTAACCCTTTCTGCGCCAGAGCAGCGTTGCTCTTAATGGACACGTCGCTTTAAAAGATGACAGTGTTGCGAGAAAAGAGACAGTCATCAGCAGGTCCTCATGTCAGCGCGAGTGTGTGTGTGTGAGTAACGAGGATTACGCTGAACTGTATCTGACATCTATACGTCCAAATCTTCTCAGCCTAGTCTTGATCGCGTGCTCACGTGACATGTTATCTTTTAAATTTAAATTAAATCAGGTCGATATATTTCACACAATAAACCAGTAATTAATTATAAAATAAGAAGCAAACCTATAGGAAGAAAAAAAAACACCTCTTCATATTAATACGACCATATGATAATTAAAACATGCATCAGACTCTACAAATAATAACCTTGGCTTTAATATCGCTGCCTCTCGTATTTATCGTCTCCCTCCGCTCGGAGTGTACGGCTCCTTTCTTCCAAGAAAAAGGGATTCAAAAACTCATAAGCAGATCTCGCATCTGACCTGAAAATCCCAGGATTTGATTGATCTTAATGCCCATGGCTCTGAATATGATAATTTTAATATTAATGAGCAAATGAGCAGTTTTATTATGCATGCTATATAGTTAGAACTAATAAGCTTCTGGGTGAGAGGGAGAAGAAGAGAGTGAGTGAGGGGAGTGAGGTGTGGTGGTGAGAGGGGGGGGTGCAGATCCCTCTTTGGAGCTGATGAGACCGAGCTGAGATATTAAACTACCTTTCATTTCTTTCTTTCTTTTCTTCTCCTTCTTTGTTTTGCTTTAAAACAAATTCTCTGCATTAATCAAATGACGAGCCCGTCGCTGATCATCCCGCTAATGCTTTACTGTGGGAGCTGCAGATGTAAATACATCACCGTGCTTATTGTGCTGACTGGGAGACAAGATATCTCTAATGTCATTGTGATAACATTCCTATTGTATCATAGGAACAGGAGCAACTTTTATCAGGACACGAGGAAAGAGAAGAAAAAAAGGAACGTATGAATAAGGTACATGTTTGTGGTTGTGTTATTTTCTGCCACAAAACCTCTGAGAACGTGTCACAACATTATTACGCAGCAAAACACAGCATCTTACTGTAACCAACAAACTGCAAAAAGGGCACTGCATCTTTTTTTTTTGCATCCCCTCCTGAATCAGTTGATCACACACCCATGTGCTCATTTGCATCCCAAATCCAAATTAATTCACTTTGCTAAATCTAGTGCTTGCGCCACGTCTTGCATGCTGATGAGCGGCTGCTTCAAGTTTTTTCTCTCTCTCCCTCCCTCTCCGCACAGCCACAAAGGCTAAAAGGCAGCTAACGAATGACGCGTAGGGGCCACGGGATGAAACGCGAGGAGACGCTGGCGGCCTGGCGAGGCTTTTCTTTATCAGCAGGCGGACACACTCCGGGTTACAACGTGTGCGGCTGCAGAGACATTTTTTACCATCTTTGTGGAAGCAGACAGGACAATAAAGTTGTCGGGACAGATATACAAATGGGGCCTTTTGTGTGGGTAAATAAAGAGCGCTCCCTTCATGACAGGCCAATTCTCACTCTCCTCCCTGCCTTAGTTCCATATGAACAAACCCTTAACCTCTCTCTTAGACCCGTTTATGTGTTTGTGTGCATGTACGTGTGCACGTGCCTCCGTTCACACAGCCGAGAGCTGGTTAACAGGCAAACAGCCATATTTCTTCCTAATTAACCAATGATATGCGAGGGAAGGTGGTTTCAGGAGTAGGAGGAGGGGTGTCTCCCTTAACAAAAGGTGCTGATGATGGAGTGGCTGCTGTATAATTAGTGCGTCAGAGCCCTCTCCTCTCCAGCGCCGAGCCTCGCTATTAATTGCACCGAATTAGAAAATGATATCTGAGGCAGAATAATTCTTTCAGCTGTCATTTCCAAACAGAGAAGGCAGAGCCGCGGAAAAAATAAATAAGAGGAGAACGGTGCTTTATTCGTTAGAGAGGTCGGGAAGAATGGGAGAGGAGTGCTAATCGCTAGGCGCTGAGCAAATATATGCTTTTCTTCAGTTTTTTGTTATTGACTGCGGCGAGAGGAAGGAGCTGTCGTAGCTGTGGAAGGAAGTGAAAGGTGGAGGTCGCGTGGGGGGGAGGGGGCATGAAAGTTACCTTCCAAGTTGCAGCGTTGCGTCTGAAGTAGGCAAACGTGCGCGTGAACCAGCTGTAGATTTCATTAAGCGTTAACTGCATGTCGGCAGAGTCCATGATAGCCTGGAATGAGATGACATCAAATAATGGTTTACTAACGAGACGACGTAACACACACACACACACACACACACACAGATGCATTGAGGGGGGGGGGGCGCTGCCATGATTCATGCAGCAATTAATTTTAATCTAATCAGGCAAAGTTAATTTATTTCCCACTCACCTGTCTTATGAGGGTTGCATAAGTAAATGGCGGCCTGACATCTGCGTTCTTATAAAACTCGTAGTTTGGGGCGATCTCTGGAAAAATAAATACTGTGTCACCACCTGAAATAATTGGTAAATTTTTATTCCTTTAGGTATTGCATTTGCTCAAGGTTTCATCAAATTAAGGGGGGGTGGGGGAGGGAGAAACAGGGGAGAGAGGGGAGGGTAAGAAAGGGGTGGGGTTAAAAGGGGGGCACATCAAATCGGCATTTTCCATGTCTAACAAAATGCATTTTTAATTAATCTCTCTCGCGAGAGATCTTAAACACTAATACGTCCACAAAATGAGAACCGTGTTAGTTAGTTAGGCTGAGGTTGAATAATTTATGTGTCTTCACACTAAACACAGAGAGAGTAAATATAAACATCAAAGACGGACCATTTAAAATGCAAAGCTTAATACATGGGATGTCTTAATGTAATAAATATTGTATTTTTCCCCCTCTACCATTATTTGAACTTAATTAACATTCATGTAATATTTATCCACAAAGGAAGTTCTTGTCTATTTACATATAGAGTGATTAAACACAGGCTTTTACAAAACCAACCAGACATCCCACATTGGTGAGACCAACAGCAGTCAGTGGTGGTGTGTGTGTGTTTTATGTCAGAGGACTTGTGTACAAGTGTGAGTACGCTGTGTGTGCACTTTCACATGTGCATGTTGAAAATATACCACAAGACTACTACGGGTCGAGTGCGACTAATAGTAAAGTTCTGAGGGTTGAAAATTCACATGCAATTTGCAATTCATCACATTCATATTTTATTCATTATTCAACAAAATATGTTGATTGACAACAGCTTTCGTGTGTGTGTGTGAGTGTGTGTTTATACTTGATACACTTTCTTTGTGAGGACAGTTTTGAGCATAGACCCGACAAAGTTTGGATATTTTCAAATACTGAGGACATTTCGGCTGGTCCTCACTTTTCAAAGGGCTGAAAGGTTACAGTTAGGGTAACACATTTAGTTGAGATGGTTAAAGTTAGGGTAAAGGTCAAGTGAATGGTTTATGCCAATTGGTGTCCTCACGAAGATTGAAGTACAGTGTTTGTGTACTTGTGAGTAAAACTCAATCGTCTGCACTGGCTGTATGTGTGTGTGTGTCTGTGTTATGTGCAATGCTGAGTAGTTGGTCCTACCTGAAGACAGGGGCATGGAGTATTTGTCCGAGTGGCGTCTGCGCATGGCTCCCATGCTGGGGACGTTCGCTCCTCCAAGTATCGACGGCACCTGGGGCATTGCGGCCATGGGCGTGATGGGTGCCGTGGGCGTGGTGGGCGTCTGAGGTAAGTTCGGTGGCGATGCTGAGGGCAAGTTCTTGGACATGGTGACGCTGGACACCAAGTTGAGCTGAGGTGGGAGGGAGGGATGGATGGAGGAGGGAGGGGTGGAGAGAGGAAGGTGTTATTTTGTGGTTCCTCCGACAGAGTGTCTGCTCTCCTCTAACACAGCTGTGTTTCCACTAACAAGGCTCGTGGAGAGGAGCCAGCCTATCTCCACTAATTACAACCACCAAATTGTATCATAAGAATTCTAATTAGAGCACGCTGTTCAAGATTATCCAACGATCAGCCTCCGTGTTATCCCAGCCCCATCTCTCTTTATCTCTCTATTTATCACTCCCTCCCTCCCTCCCTCCTTCTTTATCTCCGCCACTACGACCACCCGTAATCCTTTTAAACTGAAGCTACGAGGCTCTGCAACCTTTGTTTTCCATTGGTGCCAATTGGTAAACATCCAGAACCAGCCAGGTCCAGATCCACAACATGTGACACTACATTCTGCAATGACAAGGTGAAGCTAAGTTACTATAGTGACAGTCATGTTTTATTTAGTTTTTACTGTTCTCATCCGTGACATCGGTGTTCTTATATTTGTGCTCTGCTTGTTTTCTATTGTTTGCCCTCAATTCTTCAGTTTTTATACTATTATTATTAGTGTAATGAATCTGTGGATGAAACTCGTAATCCAGTCACACACACACACACACACACACACACACACACACACACACACACACACACACACACACACACACACACACACACACACACACACACA